GGGGGGGAACAGACTGACAATCAAGTTTCTCTATGTTCAATCAAATGAACTCTTCCTACACAAAAGTGTCAAAAGACGGAGGACAAGACAACTGCATTTGGCTAAGATTTACCATTTCAAGCGGAGAAAAAAAGGAAAATGGTAGATCGAAATAATCTCCGACATTCGAGACATAAGCAAATGGAACATTTAGCAAACACTTGAGACAAGTGGCAATAATATAGAACTGCAAACCCTCCATGACCAAAAATAGAAGTTTTTCTCTCAGAATCCTACTTAAAAATCAGAGTTAGGGGGAAAAAAAACTGGAGTCTCCAAAACCCCAGTAGGTTCAGATTACAATATGAATCAGTCATTGAAAATAAAGGTGAATTTCAACTACACGAAAAATAAACATGAATAAAAATGCCTTTTTTCATATCATTTACAATTTATGACAAGTTGCGTATGACCTATGGAAATAGAAATTATTTTTAGAAATCACATTCCATGCAAATCTGTGGAGTTCTTCCATTTGCCAAAAGGAGAAAAAAAATTAAATGGGAATGCTACGATTTTATTAGAGTAATCGGCAAGACTGGTAATGGAACATTTATCAAACACTTGAGACATTGAGCAAAAAGAGCTTAACACTTGAGACATGATGAGGTCACGAACCTTAGCAACTAAGACATGAGGAAATGGAATGTTTAAATTTGTCTCATCGAAGACGTCAAAGAGTTTCCCTCAATCACAGCTCAGATACAGATAGACGTTATCTGCTACCGTTTCTCTCTAGAGAGGAACAACCAAGGGTAGAAATTTCTCTCCGGGGTAAGAGTGTCATATATCGATGGTTTAGTGTACGACTCCACCATACGACATTTGTGAGGCAGCGTGGCGGAATCAGGCTCTCGTCAAAATAATTAAAGTGAAGAAACTTGTATTTTTCCGCAGGTTTGTGAATTTTTATCAAATTTTCGTTTTTTTGCTGAACACCTTTCAAGCTCATTAAAGAACTCATTTCTATGAGGATTTTTCTGAAAAACGTTGATTAAAGGCACAAAAAATGTAAATTTTCAGTTACCATGGACTCTTAATCTTAGGAAATAACTAATCTTTGGCAGCCATTTTCTCACTAATTTTACCTCTGAAAAGAGGTGACCACCACCTCCTTTATTTGCAAATATCTCGACTTGTGTTAAAAAAAAAAGGATATTTTTTAATTCAAATAAAGACAAGTGAACAAGCTTTAAGATGATACCAATTACTCTACATGTCTCAAAATTGACGAGAACCTGATTCCACCACGCTGCCTCACATTTTGAAAAGTGACGTGTTACCAAGTCTTATACTGAGCAGTGGATATAAAGAAAAAGACACATCACATGCAATCAAGGTGAGATGTATATAGAGAAAGACACATCACATGAAAGCAAGGTGAGATGTATATAGAGAAAGACACATCACATGAAAGCAAGGTGAGATGTATATAGAGAAAGACACATCATATGAAAGCAAGGTGAGATGTATATAGAGAAAGACACATCCCATGAAGTCAAGTAGTAAGCTAAAACATTTTATCATGCCAGTTTTTTCATCATGATTAGACTCTACAGCTAGTATAGAGACTTCAAGTTTTTAACACAAAGTGGTAGATGCCCGGTCCCTCTATAGAGAAAATACTAATAAAGTTGTACAGTACAGTAACAAACAATATTTCATTCACTGACAGGAATCCATTCAGACTTTCCAAACCAGAATATTACGGACACGGACGAAGGTATATATATGAAGACTACAGGGGAAAAACAACGGTAGTCACAAACTGAAAATCGTGAGGATACCAATTTTGAATGCTTGTCGACTCATAACTGTATTTCCGTTCAACTATTGGTTGATAATTGTTGTTAGATTTTTCATTTAACAACACTTAACAATAAACCATAAGTCAGACGAATATAAGGTTCTGAATCCACAAGCTTTTAAAATTGGTACCCTCACAATTTCCAGTTTGTGACTACCATCGTTTTTCCTCTGTGCTCTTGAGATATATTCCCCGTTCACACCAAAGTAACTTTCAAGAGATCTTGACTTTATGAGAAAGACATCAAAAGCGTTCTCATTTATAAAATGAGATCTCATTTATACAAGCATTTCTGTAGTAAAGGTGAAGAGAGATTTTGAAAAGTAAAAAAGCGATTTTTTAGTTTTAGTAGAGGGATTTACGGTGCTCGCAACTGCATAAGGTCATATGAGCACCAGAAGATTAGAGGCAAACCACAGCAGAGCACCCGCCAACCGCCCACAAAAGCGATTTTGCACCATATTCCTCTTCAGCCTCCTTTCTCCGTCATCCAAATAACTCTCTGAAGGTCACGGTCATTGTCATCGATTCGGTGGTGACCTTACATGACGACACGTCCAAGGTCAATAGGTCAGCAGTAGTTGGCCTGTTGAAACACCTGGTACTCGTTGACGAGAAGGAAGCCGACGATAGCTCCGATGAGCGAGCCCACCTGTGTGGAGATGCCTGCCCAGATGAGGGCCGTCCGCCCACTCTCTCTCAGCACACCGGCCACGCAGACTTTGGCGTAGATGAGGAATAGGGTGGCTAGGACCCACACGGTGAGCTGAGGGGGGAGGAGGGGGGA